TAATGTTTATTAGGGCGGTGTGTGGCAGTGTTACAGACTGTGTACTGTCAGTGATCCCCCCATGATATAATGATATATTAATGTTTATTAGGGCGGTGTATGGCAGTGTTACAGTCTGTGTACTGTCAGTGATCCCCCCATGATATAATGATATATTAATGTTTATTAGGGCAGTGTATGGCAGTGATACAGACTGTGTGCTGTCAGTGATCCCCCCATGATATAATGATATATTAATGTTTATTAGGGCAGTGTATGGCAGTGTTACAGTCTGTGTACTGTCAGTGATCCCCCCATGATATAATGATATATTAATGTTTATTAGGGCGGTGTATGGCAGTGTTACAGTCTGTGTACTGTCAGTGATACCCCCATGATATAATGATATATTAATGTTTATTAGGGCGGTGTATGGCAGTGTTACAGACTGTGTAATGTCAGCGATCCCCCCCATGATATAATGATATATTAATGTTTATTAGGGCAGTGTTACAGACTGTGTACTGTCAGCGATCCCCCCATGATATAATGATATATTAATGTTTATTAGGGCAGTGTATGGCAGTGTTACAGTCTGTGTACTGTCAGTGATCCCCCCATGATATAATGATATATTAATGTTTATTAGGGCGGTGTGTGGCAGTGTTACAGTCTGTGTACTGTCAGTGATCCCCCCATGATATAATGATATATTAATGTTTATTAGGGCAGTGTATGGCAGTGTTACAGACTGTGTACTGTCAGCGATCGCCCCATGATATAATGATATATTAATGTTTATTAGGGCGGTGTATGGCAGTGTTACAGACTGTGTGCTGTCAGTGATCCCCCCATGATATAATGATATATTAATGTTTATTAGGGCGGTGTATGGCAGTGTTACAGACTGTGTACTGTCAGTGATCCCCCCATGATATAATGATATATTAATGTTTATTAGGGCAGTGTATGGCAGTGTTACAGACTGTGTACTGTCAGTGATCCCCTCCATGATATAATGATATATTAATGTTGATTAGGGCAGTGTGTGGCAGTGTTACAGACTGTGTACTGTCAGTGATCCCCCCATGATATAATGATATATTAATGTTGATTAGGGCAGTGTGTGGCAGTGTTACAGTCTGTGTACTGTCAGTGATCCCCCCATGATATAATGATATATTAATGTTTATTAGGGCAGTGTATGGCAGTGTTACAGACTGTGTACTGTCAGTGATCCCCCCATGATATAATGATATATTAATGTTTATTAGGGCGGTGTATGGCAGTGTTACAGTCTGTGTACTGTCAGTGATACCCCCATGATATAATGATATATTAATGTTTATTAGGGCAGTGTATGGCAGTGTTACAGACTGTAAAAATTGTCAGTGATCCCCATGATATAATGATATATTAATGTTTATTAGGGCTTACGGCAGCAAGTTACAGTCTGTTACAAAGTGCGATCCCCGCGATATAATGATATATTAATGTTTATTAGGGCGCATGGCAGCGTTACAGACCGCGTAACACCGTCAGTGATCCCCATGATATGTAAATGATATATTACGTTTATTAGGGCGGTGTATGGCAGTGTTACAGTCTGGTGTGTACTGGTCAGCGATCCCCCATATGGCGGCAATGATATATTAATGTTGATTAGGGCAGTGTGTGGCAGTGTTACAGACTGTGTACTGTCAGTGATCCCCCCATGATATAATGATATATTAATGTTTATTAGGGCAGTGTGTGGCAGTGTTACAGTCTGTGTACTGTCAGTGATCCCCCCATGATATAATGATATATTAATGTTTATTAGGGCAGTGTATGGCAGTGTTACAGACTGTGTACTGTCAGTGATCCCCCCATGATATAATGATATATTAATGTTTATTAGGGCAGTGTATGGCAGTGTTACAGACTGTGTACTGTCAGCGATCCCCCCATGATATAATGATATATTAATGTTTATTAGGGCAGTGTATGGCAGTGTTACAGACTGTGTACTGTCAGCGATCCCCCCATGATATAATGATATATTAATGTTTATTAGGGCGGTGTATGGCAGTGTTACAGACTGTGTACTGTCAGTGATCCCCCCCCATGATATAATGATATATTAATGTTTATTAGGGCAGTGTGTGGCAGTGTTACAGTCTGTGTACTGTCAGCGATCCCCCCATGATATAATGATATATTAATGTTGATTAGGGCAGTGTATGGCAGTGTTACAGACTGTGTACTGTCAGTGATACCCCCCCATGATATAATGATATATTAATGTTTATTAGGGCAGTGTGTGGCAGTGTTACAGTCTGTGTACTGTCAGCGATCCCCCCATGATATAATGATATATTAATGTTGATTAGGGCGGTGTGTGGCAGTGTTACAGACTGTGTACTGTCAGTGATCCCCCCATGATATAATGATATATTAATGTTGATTAGGGCAGTGTGTGGCAGTGTTACAGTCTGTGTACTGTCAGCCCCATGATATAATGATATATTAATGTTTATTAGGGCAGTGTATGGCAGTGTTACAGACTGTGTGCTGTCAGTGATCCCCCCATGATATAATGATATATTAATGTTTATTAGGGCGGTGTATGGCAGTGTTACAGTCTGTGTACTGTCAGTGATCCCCCCCATGATATAATGATATATTAATGTTTATTAGGGCGGTGTGTGGCAGTGTTACAGACTGTGTACTGTCAGTGATCCCCCCCCATGATATAATGATATATTAATGTTTATTAGGGCGGTGTATGGCAGTGTTACAGTCTGTTACAGTGATCCCCCCATGATATAATGATATATTAATGTTTATTAGGGCGGTGTATGGCAGTGTTACAGACTGTGTACTGTCAGTGATCCCCCCCCATGATATAATGATATATTAATGTTTATTAGGGCGGTGTATGGCAGTGTTACAGACTGTGTGCTGTCAGTGATTCCCCCCCATGATATAATGATATATTAATGTTTATTAGGGCGGTGTATGGCAGTGTTACAGACTGTGTGCTGTCAGTGATCCCCCCATGATATAATGATATATTAATGTTTATTAGGGCAGTGTATGGCAGTGTTACAGACTGTGTACTGTCAGTGATCCCCTCCATGATATAATGATATATTAATGTTGATTAGGGCGGTGTGTGGCAGTGTTACAGACTGTGTACTGTCAGTGATCCCCCCATGATATAATGATATATTAATGTTGATTAGGGCAGTGTGTGGCAGTGTTACAGACTGTGTACTGTCAGTGATCCCCCCATGATATAATGATATATTAATGTTTATTAGGGCAGTGTGTGGCAGTGTTACAGTCTGTGTACTGTCAGTGATCCCCCCATGATATAATGATATATTAATGTTTATTAGGGCAGTGTATGGCAGTGTTACAGTCTGTGTACTGTCAGTGATCCCCCCATGATATAATGATATATTAATGTTTATTAGGGCGATGTATGGCAGTGTTACAGTCTGTGTACTGTCAGTGATACCCCCATGATATAATGATATATTAATGTTTATTAGGGCAGTGTATGGCAGTGTTACAGACTGTGTACTGTCAGTGATCCCCCCATGATATAATGATAT